GGGGGGGGGGGGCATCCGCGCTCCAGCCAGGGCTGTGGAGGTGGCTGGCCTTGTGTGGCTACGTTCCATGTCACGTGGTCAGGGCCGGTGTCCGGTTTCAGTGCAGCGCAGGACAGGAGGGGAGGGGGACAAAGGGACCGTTGTACCAGGCTCCCAACTCAAACCCTCCTTCCTGCTGACGTCACAGCTGCCCTACATACAGCTGCCAGCCTCATCCTGGGACCCTCGCTGTCCCCGAGCAGTGGCACGGCGACTGAAGCTCGCAGGGCTCTTCCGCATGAGGACTTGGCTTTGTCTTCTCTGTGGGGAGAGGATTAAGCTCCTGTGGATAATTTTCAGTCAAATCCAGATGGAAAATTCTAGAAAGAAAAGAAGCCTTGTTCGCATTTTTTGTTTTTTGTTTTTGGGGTTTGGTTTGTTTTTTTGAGGGGTATCAGGGATTGGATTGAACTCAGGACCTTGTGCTTGTGAGGTATGGTGCCACTGAGCTAAACCCCCAGCCCAACATCGTTTGGATTTTTTACTCTTGCTGCTCTGTTGGAATCCTGGGTCCCTTCGGGGACCTAGACTCGCCCACCTCCTGGCAGGATTTTCTATGACCGGAATATGGTGGGTTTTCCCTCCTTTTCCTTCTGCTTCTTAACCCTTGCTTTCCTGCACCTCCATGATCTCCCTCCATAGGCAGAGCTGGGCAAAGTGGAGGAGAGAGGCGGAGGGGGCACCTGAGTGAGCTGGGGGTGCAGGTGGAGGTGTGAGGCTGTCCCCAAAGGTGGTCCCACGAGGGCAGGCCAGAGATGGCGAGGGAGGGAGGCAGTAGCCAGATCTGCGCACAGTGAGGGCAGGGTCCCGAGGCGGGTGGTAGAGGAGATGCCACGGGAGTCGGGAGAAGGCATGGGAGGCAGCATTTGGGACAAAGTGTTTCTGTCTATGGAACGCAGGTGGACACTGGGCAGTGAGGAGGGTGGGAAGATCAGGAGAGGCTGGGTGTGGGATGCCACTGCCACCTTACGCCCAGGTGCTGCTGAGAACTGCGTCCCCAGGTCCCCTCCTGGCTGTGTGCACGGAAGGAAGGCAGGAGACTGGGCAAGACACATGTTGATGGGTGAGACCTGTGTAGGTGGGGCCGGGCCAGGCCGGGAGGGAAGGGTACCTGAGGTACCTGAGGTGTGGACAAGGTGGGGCTCCTGGGGGGCAGGGAAGGAAGGCTGCTGAGAGAGAAGGCAGAGAAGAGAGGCGGAGAGGATGAGAGTCGCCGTGGGGACCAAAGAGTATTTGGAGCGAGGAGGCCACACACACAAACCTAGGGGAGTCTGGCTGTGCTGTGTGGCCCAGAGCTTGGCCGATGCTTGCAGGAGCCCGGATGAGCAGGCTCTGCAGAAAGCGAGGAGAGGCCTGAGTCTGGTGCTGAGACAACGGAGCACAGACAAAGTCACAGCCATGAAATTAGCATAAAAATAGAATGGGTGCTACATGTAATTCATCTTCTAGCAGCCATGTTTAAAAAAAGAAACAAGTAAAACTCATTTTAGTAATGTCTTTTACTTAACCTGATACACCCCAAGCACCACCACACCTTACACTTCCAACACCCTACAATCTAGCCTCGCTTCACTGCGTGTCTTCAGTGGCCACAGGTGGCTGCCACACCAGGCAGGGCAGCCCCAGGCAGCAGATCGAAAGCCTGCACCCTAAACTCACAGGGAGAAGTGGGACTGACATAAAAACTGCACAGGCGGGACTGGAGGCCCTTCAGTCTGTATCCTTGTGGGGAGGAGACCCCCAGGACCTCTGGCCGTGGGGAGACCTTGCAAGAGCTCGCACGCACCCACGTGCGCACTAACATTCCCATTCCCGGAGCCGCTGGGGTGCTGGTCTCTGGGAAGATTTCTCACAGCAGCCGGGGCACGTGTGACCACCACACTGAAAGTTCACATGCCACATGGGACAACACGGGCAGGGCGCTCGGTGGGACTGGAGGGGAGGGGTTGTGGCGGTCTCTCGGTGTGGGGAGCCGGAGGTGGGGGGCGCCTGCCATTCTTGGTCTGTGATTAAGGGGGTGACTGCTGGGCGGAATCTTGCTCTTGTCCCTGGTGCTGGTGGAGGCTGTCCCTATGTCCCCTCCGGGTGTGTGCAGGTCGGGCTGGGCTGTGGCAGCCACTGGCCTGTGTGCACGTTGATCGAGGGCAGAGTGGAGAATCTCGGTGTGGGGAGCCGGAGGTGGGGGGCGCCTGCCATTCTTGGTCTGTGATTAAGGGGGTGACTGCTGGGCGGAATCTTGCTCTTGTCCCTGGTGCTGGTGGAGGCTGTCCCTATGTCCCCTCCGGGTGTGTGCAGGTCGGGCTGGGCTGTGGCAGCCACTGGCCTGTGTGCACGTTGATCGAGGGCAGAGTGGAGAAGGGCCAGGGCACCTCCACACCGCGTGCAGGACGTGCCAGACCACACCGATGAAGGCAGTTTTGTCCCTGCCCAGCGAGCGGCGTGGCACTGAGTGTGCCTGCGCCACCCCACATGTGCACCCAGGCCACAGCACCCAGGTGGCTGTGTGAGCCCAGCCATGGCTCCGTGTCCTCCACTCACAGACGTCCTCCTGGCTACTTGTCAGGGCCGCTTCCCCTCCAGCTGCAGACCCCCAGCAGGGAAGGAGGAGGGGCCGAGACCCAGGGCCGATTGGGAGGAGAGGGAGGGAGGAGCTGGCCTCCCACTTCACACTCTCACCTGCCCCAGGTTGGCCCGGCTGTGGGTGACAGGAGGAGCGCATCTCAGCGGGTGGGGGCAGAGGAGGAGCCGGCCAGATGGCACCTCCACCCCCAGCAGATTCTGTGTGATAGCTGTGCTTTCCATCTGATGCAGGCTCAGGAGGGAGGAGGACATGGCGAAGGGGGAAGTCACAGGCCAAGAGCCCATTGGGTTTGGGCTGGGGGCCCAGAGCTACCCCTTCAGCAAGCATCCATCGAACACAGCCCGGGGCCGGCAGTGGGTCTCTGCGGCCTCAGTGACCTCGGGGGGACTTGGTGTACTCATTAACAGCTAGTGGGCGTGGGTGCCAACAAGGGTGATGCACAGAGGTGGAGAAGCTTCAGCCGCGACCTTGCTCAGCCCTTGGCCCAGAACTGTGAGCAGCCAGACGCCATGGCGCACGCCTACAACCCCAGCACTCAGGAGGCTGAGGCAGAAGGGTCACTGGGAGTTTAAGGCCAGCCTGGACAAGAGTGAAACCCTGTCTCAAAAAACAAAACTAAGGGTGGGGGATTTAGCTCAGTGTTTCCGCTGCCTGCCTTGCAAGTGCAAGGACCTGAGTTCCATCCCCATACCAAAAAAAACAAGACAAAACAAAAAAAAAACTGGGCATGGTAGCACACGCCTGTAATCCCAACACTTGCAAGGCTGAGGCAGGAGGATCACTGTGAGTTCAAGATCGCTGTGGGCTACATAGTGAGTTCCAGGTCAGTCGCAACTACGTAGTGAGGCCCTGTCTCAAAAAATAAATAAATAAAATAAAATAACAGGGCCGGGGATTCAGCTCAGTGTTGCCAAACCATCTGCCTTGCAAGTGCAAGGACCTGAATTCAATCCCCGGTACCAAAAATAAAAAATAAGTACCAAAACAAACAAAAAGAATGGAGCGGGAAAAAGGGAGTCAAGATACATTGCGTACACAAGGACCCGAGTTCAATCCCTGGTACCAAA